AACAAGGAGCAATGGCCGTGATATAAATAAAAACCAGCAAATTACATATTGTCTACTTGTCTCAATCTCCTGCTGGACTCAAGTTCGTTAAGGGAAAAATCAGTAAGATTCTCTTTTGTGTGTCTTATTTCTCTTCCTGGTCCTTATAATTCTCACAGTATCAGAGACACAATAAATGCTAAACAAATATTAATTACATGGCTGAAAGAACCCACTGAACTCTCAGCACTTGTTCAGAGATCACCCTCACTTATTTAACAGCCTAGTTAGCATTTTTTGCTTGCGTGTAGGATTGCATGTGGATTCACTGTGGAATTTATTTCTCAAGACCTTTCTTTTGTAAATCACCTGATCCTGGTGCTGGGATCCTCAAGGTGTTGATCATTCTATTGCCTTCACACGACTTCTGTGAGCATTACTATAGTACTTCGTCATTCTGTCCCCAACCAAGTTTCTGATAAGACCTAAGGCCATATCCACGGTTCCTGGATAATCTGTTTTCCAGAACTGTTATTTCCTGGTGACATTTTATTAAGCCTCTAGTTACTTCAAGACCAATGCATTCGTCAGCTATCTTTTTGTAATCATTTAAACATAAATATACAATCATAATGCTTCATTCTTACAATGCTTTTTAATACATGCCAGTAATTTTCAACCTCTTTTATCAAAAATACCTTTTTAAATGGGTGACCCTTTTACAAACAAATCTACTGCAATTATATAGATGTGTGGTTCTGGTCAAAGTAGCAGTAGGGACCCCTTCTTCCCCGTCTCTGGAGAGCCTCTGTGGTACTTTCACACATCTCTATGGCTCTGAAAAACCCAGTGTGAAAGTCACTGGTTTGTTTTCTAGATCACAATAAATAAGAGTGGCTTGTACATCACTTTACAAACTCAATTTCAGCATATTATTAAGTCATACCTTAAGTGTACCTGGAGCACAAACTGCTTAAAAGAACTCTGATGTAAATTCTTATGTACAGTGAATAATTACAGCTGATTATTAAAAATCCATTTTTAAAGTTTATATTTTCACACAGTGAGCTTTCTTAAGTCAGGGACCTAAGGAAGGAATAAAAGCACTTCCATTTTGGCCAGTCTTATGAAAATAATCACTATTTCTCCCTTCTATGCACTCTTCAACCAACAGATGTCACTAAAGATACCAGTACCCAGAGGCAAAGGCAAGAAAAGATTAGACAAATGGAAATTGAGGATAAAAAATATCCAGTTCTTAAAACTGAGAAGTAGGTTTCCAAAGTAATAACATTTATTACACTGCACGCAACATTTTAACCAAAAATTTAAGAAAGAAATTTCTTTTATTAAGTTGCTCACGCTGAACGGATCATAGCACTAAGTTTTGAAATACATGTTCTTGAAGCAATTTAAAACTCATTAGAAATAATAGGCTTGGGCTAGTAGAAAATGTGGTAAAATTTAATCCTCATCCAAATGTTACCTGGGCTGAACAAACAGGAAATTGTTTTGTGCTACTGTGGCTAACCTCATTGCTGACCCTGAGCTGGAATGGCAAGAGCAGCTGAGAGCTGAAGCAAAATTAAAAACTTACATCAAAGTATATCATGACAGAATGTAGATAAATAAAACAGCATATCAAAAGTATTATTTTCCTGCCAGTCTCACTAAGCAGAGAGGTGGAGTTATTCCACAAAATATATAATAAATCAGGTGCCTTTGGAAATGAGTCCTTCCCCCTCTATACTGTCCCAATAACGGACTACGAGAATACTGCCCATGAGAAGTGAGCAGAGAAGAAAGCCAGTGAAGATGGGGACAGAAGGGATCAAAGAATGTTCTGGCCTCCTTACTACATGGGCTTCCCCTTCCTTCCCCTTGGCTTACCAAAGAAATAAATAATGCTGGCTCTTCTGTGTCCTCTCAGACACTCTTTCCCTCATCTTCCAGGCTCCTGGAGGGCAACCACACAATCCCCTCCAATGAGCATATCAGAATCTCCAGAGGTAAAAGCACGGGGAATGAAACATTACAGACAGTAAAGACCAATAAAATCAGCGTGGTTGATGGGGGCCAGCATGGGCCAATCAGTGAAGGTTGAAAAACATTTTTCTATTATTTTATGTAAAGCAGGTGTCAAAATCACTGGTAACAAAGTTGAAGGACATTTTTCCATTGAGCCTTTGATTTCCCTTAAGTTTTAGGATAGAAATCACCATAAAGAGCAGTGCTTCATCATAAATATCTAAACGACAATCTTCCTGTGGCAACTCCCAAGTGGCAATAAGGAATAGGGAAAGACTATTGTCTGAAGCCATACAGACTTTGAATGAAATTCCAATTCAACTACTTGCCAGTTATGTAATATTAGGCAAATCTCTTAACCTCTATGAGCTTCAATTTCTTCATAACAGTAATCATAGTGGGTAACTGGTCTAAGGGCTTTCCATGCATTATCTAATTGAATCCTCATAACCACCTTAAGAAGTACGTATTATTTTCTCTGTTTAACAAGAAACTGAAGCAAGAGAGGCTACACAACTTAACCAAGGCCAAATGACTAGTGAGTGGCAGATAATAATACCTACCTTGAGGATTCAATGGGTTAATGCATGATAAATGGTCTAGTACAGGAGCAAGCACATAATAGCTGATTAAAAAAATGAAAGCTATCGTTATTATTCATCCAAACTGAGGAGGAAAGCCTTACCCTAATCTCTGAGTCCTTCTTCAGGGGGAAAAAACCTTACTGGCATTTCTTTTCAAGAGTGTTTTGAAGGTTTTTCCTCTTTTCTGCTCCACTTCCTTTCTCTTCTTCCTGCCCTTCCTCTGTCTCCCTCTGTCTCCTTCTCTTCTTCTTCCTCCACTGTAACCCTCACATAGTTATCTTTCTCAACTTTTGCTGCAATGCCTTTGTCTACGTCAGACAACCTGACAGAGGACTAGATAGTTTTGAAGTCCATAGGTTTGGCACTATTCTGAGATTCCTTTTGCTGTCACTTGCGGGACATATATTCTGTCCTAGAGATCTAGTGATACTGGAGGAGGAAGAAGTCACTGCTTTTATCAGCCCTACTGCAATAGTGAATAAGCCCCGAAGGAAAAATTACACTTAGTGAAAGAAAATGGATCCAGAGAAATGGGAAGGAAAGATACAGTTGTGCTTGGTAACAGGAATCTAACATTTGTATAGTTAAAGCTCTATCGACTACTAAGAAGTTTTTATACATGTATTGTTTAATGAGAAATATTATTTCCTCTTAGAAACTCAGTACTTGTTATAGACAGAAGGAAGCAGGATGGTGTGGTCCAAGCAGGAAACATCCCTGAACAAAAAAGTGATGTGGTCAGTGAACTCCTGTCCAAAGAAGGCGGGCTCTGTGAGTGCAAGAGAACAGCTTTGGATCAAGGAGAGGCATGTTCACTGAGTACCTATTCCATGTCACACCCTGTGCCAAGTCCTTGACCCAGAGTAGCTCAATTAACCACTTCTAACCCTAACTAGATAGGTAGGTCAGTAGGTATTCATTATTCTTAGTTATATATATGAGAAAACTAGGCACAAAGAGGTGCAGTGTCTTAGCTGAAGGTCACGGAGTTGAAAGGGTTGGTACTCGGGTTGGTACTCAGATCTTTTAATCTACCCAAACTATGCTTTTTTAAGATACCATACTTTCGGAGGAAGGTCCAGACATATATCTTTGTATGATAAGACACTGAAAGGAATTAGATATACACTGGAAGTACAGCAAACTGTGAGCATATTTAAAAAAGGTCCATTTTTACCTTTAGCAGGCAAAGCATTTCTACTTTATATAATTCTAATACGTCCATTTTCAACAGATGCAAAAGTTGTGGCAATGTAGTATAGATGAAAATAAGAGAGTACAAGTTTACTATCTTAAATAGGCGCTTTCTGTAGTTTCCATACACTTACGATCTCAAACTCTAAAACTCAAACGTACAATTAAAACTAAGCATTTTTAACAGTGGCCTACAAGCATATAGATCAGAGCCCTAGATGTGTTTTGAATTGAAGCAAAAATAATTTTAAACTGTTTTTCTGCTTTTTTAAAAAATGGGCTTTACTTTTAAAAAGGTACTATGTTTCAATGGCTGTTCCTACACACACACACAACATACACTTAAAGAGGCTTTACAAAACTTTGTGAAATCTGTTTCTAGGCACTCAAAAAGAATATGAGAACTACAGGCAATTTTGAGACCAAACGTACTTACAGTTGCTATTGATTTGGGAAAGTAAGAACAGACAGGCAAAAAAGAAGACGACAAAAAAAAGGACACGGAACCATCCCTCAAGGAGAAGAGCACTGAACAGAGCCGGCCACAGTCAGTATTCAGTCTGTGTGGCAAACAGATGACAGAGGATTCTAATCCATCCTGTCCCCGTTCCCTGGCTACGTCAAGGTCCCCAAGAATTGAGAATTTCATTCACGAAGCTGTCAGAATTGGCAAGTATTAGGTTTTATGGTAGTTCTAAGGCTCAATTCTAACTACTAACCAAACATTTTGACAATAATTGAATAGGACAATCTTTACTATAGAACTCTGATTCTAGGGGTGCAGTGCCCAAAAGTTCCCTACAATAAAATATTTACTGCTCTTTACCAGTATATTTTTCCAAAATTCAGTGCTGGTGACATACTGCTCTAAGCATTCCTAGACCCAAGACAGCAAACTCCCTGATGTAACTTTTACCAATTTTGAATATGCTGTAACTTCAATATTCTATCTAGTGTATTCCCTTTGCCTACTGACACTGCAGTTTTAGCCAAAAGAAATTCATCAAGTTGGTCAGGCATGATTTGTAGTTAAAGGCATGCTGCTCACTTCTTCTGATGCCAATATGATAGCTACCTGGCTTTTTGCACTCCTTTTACCCACTTCACAAATTTATACAGATATGAAGGTTCAAAAGAACAAAATAACTAACATCTTTCTTCCCTCCAAAGAGATAAAGTTATATTGCAGAGACAAACATGGAAAAAGATACTCACCATAAGTGCAAATCATTTTACTAGCTTCTCTGAAGAGGAGAATTCCATTAGGAGATGATACATCAAAATTCAAACGCTGGGATCTAAGAAATATAGCAAAAAATTAGACTACATGTGCAGATAAAGAAACTCAATATAGATGTAAAATACATAGCATTTTCATTTATTAAAAGTAGCTGCAGTACAATTATGCCTTTTTAAAAGTGCCATTCCGTTAAACAAGTGTTGATAAAATATATGTGCTAATTTTCTCACTACAAAGATACTAGGACAATTAAGAAGAGCTTTCATTTATTTGCTGATTCAAAGAATTCACTTTATATCTGTCAAAACAATATCCTGACATTCTATATCACAGACCTCTTACCCCTTTCTCCTTTCATGCAGAGTGGTTGATAAGTAATAATAAAAAATCCCAGGTGTGTATGTGTAAGTTTATATAGATACTTGGATAGAGATTTACATTTGAGGTCTCCTGTAGTGGCCAATACACATTTTTAAAACAAATTCTAAAGTGACAGATAGGAAATCTAGGTAACTTTAATACTGCCCACATGCATAATAAATCATCTGATACTTCAAGTATACTTCAAACACATTAAATTACATACAGACTACAGTTTCCATTGCATACAGCTGAAGTAAAGAGAAACCAGTCCCAGAAGTTATAAATGAGACCAGTCTGCTTCCTTGGTTCCTGACAGGTGGGGGAACAATACGAGCAGGGTAAAGGATTGACGTGCCATCCTGACATAATACTTGTTTCTTTGACATTACTTTGGCTTTAGTTGGCTCTGATATGTCTTGTTGTTGTGCTTTCAAGAAATAATGGTATATTTCCAAAAGGATTAGCAAAAAATATAGAAGCAGCTCGTAGCAAAGAAATACCAAAAAGCAAAGATATTTGCTAAAGTCCTTTTGCCAGGAATAGAATGAATTATTGCTTTCAAAATGCTTTCGAATTAAGTACAATTATAATTTATTAGAAATATTGTGAACATTTGATTGTTGGCATACAATTCCTGACTAAAGAAATGTATATACATAATTCATATTAGATTCTAGAGAAATATGAACAAGATACATTTCCTGAGATTACAGAGTTTCACTAGATAGTTGTTAGGAAAACTGTGCTAGATATGAATTATCTGCCTATGGCAGATATAAAATACTTTACAATATACAATACAATAGATTTTTTCCTTTAGTATTAAATTGTATCAGCAATATATAATATCAATTATCTGGTTGAAAAAATTTTAATTTAATAAAAATGAAATTTCTAAGATAAAAAATATAGCCACCGTTCCTTTAGTATTTAAGGCACCTATGAGAAAGATTTAAAACAAAATTAACAGCTTTCAAAAAAATAATACTCACATTTATTTATTAGTCAGATTTTTTTCCACCTCTTGTCTTAAAAATTTTAAATTACTGCTGTGAAAAGCTCAGCAGCAGAGAGAAAATTCGAGCTGCAATCCACACTCCTCCCCTGTCTGGGTATCTCCCTTCCAGCACACAGTTTACACAGAGCAACTGATGAAACAGGGTGGCTAAGTGACAGGCAATTTGGTGCTAAGCCATATTCACAATGACATATTTTAAAGAGGTAAAACCAATTAGTTTATTGCAGTTTTTCTTTTTTAGCTACATCTTTGTTAATATTTATATGCAGAGTATTTGAATCTCTGCTGGTCTATGCAAATTATAAGGTCAACGAGGCAATTTCTGAGACATGATGTAGTTGCTATTTAATGAAAATTGTGAGTGCATAAATCATCCACATATATGCATCTTGGCATAGAGGAAGAAGGATAACTTCGAAGTCAAAGCAGGGACAATCCCCAGGGCTCCTAAGACAAACTATGTGTCCATGAATTGCTCTGGGACTCAGTTCCCTTATCCATAAAATGAAGCATCTCAACTCAGAGACCTTTAAACTTCTTTCCTGCTTTAAAATTCTACAGATTGAGCTAAGCAGTTTAACAATTAAAATAGCTGCCCTTCTTCCATTTTGTGCCTTTGACTATTTTAAATAATGGTGGGTGTAGTCTTCCAATTGTTTTCCAATTCCCATAATCCCCATATACACCTTAGCATACTATATTCTTTCTCCCCAAAGGTCTCAACCTTATATCTCTAGTTCTCTTGCTTTCACTGATCATCTTAAGTTTTGGTTCCTGAGTTCTTGCTAAGCCTTGAATATACACATACCAGGCAGGAAAGTCTGACCTCTGGACAACCCTGCCAAATAGCAGATTGTTTTTTCACTCTCCCATCACATCTCTTACCGGTTTTGCATCAGTTCTGCCATAAGTTTTAAGATGGGAGTTGTACAGGCCGGTTCTCCATACCACTGCTCAACAGCCCTCTGAAGAATCGGCAGATAGGCTGGGTACCTTTTATAAAGACTGTTAAAGAATTTAAGGGTCAAAAGAAATGTTGTTGCTGAAAATTAGCGCCATGGAAAAGGAAAAAAATGGAATCCAAATTTGTTCTCTGTTTAGTATACAATGGCAGTTTTATAAATTGCTCTCCTAACCTGCACAGATGTACTTTTTTGGGAACTGCAACTGATCTGCTCTTATTTGTAACATATCCCATACATTATATTGCTTATACTTGTCTATAACTTTCAAAGTATCATATAAGTAACACATTCAAAGAATTATGCTTAATATTGTAGTAAAAGGAAATATATTTAGTTAATGAGGATAAATATATATTTGAATTGTTATTATCAGAGTCTCTCAGGCATCAAACTACTTAATAAAAATATTATCATGAAATTTTGAAAATACACAAAAGTAGAAAGACCAGTAATAATAAACCCCATGTGTCTATCTCCCAGCTTAGAAATTACCTATATTCTTTCTTAAGTTGTTGACTTGCTTTGCTTGGTCCCACTGTAGCTCCAAGGAACACTGGAGACATTAGATTGAAGAAAAGCTTTGGGTAACTTTTAATCTACTCAAGGTCAGTGTTGCTAAAATGTAGTCCCATGCACAGCAAAGGAGAAATTCTCAAAGTTCTCATCACTACTAAGAAGTGTCTACTTCTGCTAAGTCAGTGGCTTGAGACCATCAGAACCTGGAACACTATGATTCAGCTCCACTGGCCATTTAACCCATAACTGGCCTCCTCCTTGCCAAATTGACACATAAATATAAATATGTATTTATTAAATATATATGTAAAAATATGTAAATATATAAAAAATATAAAATATATGAATATATATAAAAATAGAAATAGAAATAACTCTTACTATGACACTACCTTCATTTCCTTTTCCCCCCTAATCTCTAAGTCTCTCTCTTCCTAATGTTTTTCAACGTACTTGTCTTTTTCTTTCAGTTGCAAGTGGTGAACTGAATCACTTAACAGGGTGCTCCTTCTCTGTGTGGTATGGGTAGAGATCTCCATGGTGAGAAAGATCACAATTTTCTTCCCTGCTCTTAGGATAAATTTCAAATTCCTTAGCATGGCACACACGGCCCTTTAAGATCTGGCCCCTGCTTAACCCCAGTCTCATCTCAGTACTCCTGCCCTACCTATGGTTCAGCCACTCTTAATTCCCTGCAAATACACTGATGCCAACTCTCTGGTCTCCATTCCTCTATATGCTGCTGCTTCTGACGAACACAGTCCTGTCTTTCAACATCTAGCTCGAGCCTCACTTCCTCTGGGATGGTGAACCTTTCTCTGTTTTGTCAAAAGGCATCAATTTCTTCCTCATCTATGTTCAATGAACACTTTGACAACATCTCTCTTATAATAGACTGTATTAGGGTTGGTTGGTTGTGTTTGTCTGCCCCACTAGAAAGTGAGCTCCTAAAGGGCAAAGACCTGTGCTTCCCTACTAATGTTCCGACTAATTCATATTTGTCCCTTAGATTCCAATATAGATGTCAATTATTCCAAGAAGCCTCCCTGGCACCACCCCCTGACCCCAAAGACTGGGTTAGGTGTGTCTCCAATATATGGCTGTGGTACCCTGTGCTGGCACTATCACAGTACTTTCTCTCTCCTATTATATTATACACTGCTTGAGGGCAGGGCCTGGCACAAAGTAGATTTCAATAAATATTTGTTGCTGTAAACCTGCCACCCTAAAAATCAGATGTAACATATTTGACTAGAACTACTTATTTAATTCTTTTTTTAAATTTTTATTTTTGGTGGGGAAGATTGACCATGAGCTAACATTTATTGCCAATCTTCCTCTTTTTGCCTGAGGAGGATTGTTGCTAGGCTAAGATCTGTGCCAGTCTTCCTCCACTTTGTATGTGGGACGCTGCCACAGCATGGCTTGATGAGCAGTGTATAGGTCTGTGTCCAGTATCCAAACCTGGGAACCCTGGGCTGCCAAAGTGGAGTGTGTGAACCCAACCACCAAACCACCAGGCTGGCCCTAATTCTTTTTAACTGTACATTTCACTCTGAAGTTCAGGAAATAGTTCATATAACATTCAATGAAAATAAGCCCTCTAATACCTTAAGAGTGGCATGCTCCCTAAAAGTGCAAAAAGCAATACTTTTGTCCCCCTAGATATACCATGTTAAGGCTGTATTTGTATATACTGAAACAATTTACTTAACAAGTAGTTATTGAAGGCCTATTCTATAACTATCTAGTCACTGTTTTACACTCTCTGGAGAGACCAGTGAACCAAACATTAAAAAATTCTTGCCCTCATGGAATTTATATTCTAATAAGAAAAGAGAAAATAAACAAAATAGATATATAATATGCTAGAAAGAACTACAAAGGAAAATAAAGCAGAGAAGGGAGATAAGAAGTGAGTGTACATGTGTGAGTGAGGTTTAAGTTGGATGAAAATGAAAAAAGTAAAATCAATGAACTTGATTATTAACTCTATTTTGGCTACTGTCAGATAACTCACTGTATTGTTTTTTCTATGGACTAGAAAATCTCTTATTTTTGATAGATGGTAGATACAATGTGCTATGTACTGTGCTGGGGTCCAGAGATAAGTAAGACATGGCTTTTATTCTTGGGGAATTCATGCTCAAGTCTAGGTGGTAGGCACACAATAGGGATGCCCTGAGTACCAAAATCCTGAAGCAGTGCCAGAGGAGCACAGGTGAGAAAATATTCCACCAAGAGATCTCCTGAGCACAAATTCAGTCATGATTAGTGGGAAAGCATCTGGAAGGCTCATCGGGAAACTGAAAAGACCCAAATCTCAGAATCTAAGAACATCATAAGCACACATAAGCCCCTTTGCAAGGCATTCTACAGGCATTAGGACCATCATATTTTTCAGAGCACACTGCATTCACTATGGGATAAGGACTGTGGATATGAGAGGATGCTCCCTTTTCTGTGTGGAATGAGAGTGGTGCCAATTCTAATACGCTTCTGACAGGGGTGACTGCCACAGAGAAAATGAGTGATTATTAGAAGGCAGAGTAGAGGTCTACCAAGCAGGGAGGTTAAAAGGGCGTCAGAGTGAGAGTGCCAGACTCAGATTAGAGGGTAGGAATCAGCACCCACTCTAGGAGTTTAATTTTCCAGGGGCTGTCTGAGGACCACATATATATGGATAGGAGAAAGAGAGTGAGAGTCCTTAGGTAGAAGAGGCACAGATCTAATTGCTTTCACCTAGATCTTCTCAATGAATTCCTAAGGTCAACATTAGATAAATGAAAAATCAAGAGCATTAGTGATATGATATTGCCTTATAAGACGCCAACTATGAAAAAATGAGAAGTACAAGGTTTGCTTCTTGACAACACCCATCCATTCATCCATCCATCCCTCCATCCAGTAGTCATTAGTACTTACTATGTGCTGGACCTCAAGAAAACAGAAATGAGTAAAAACATAATTCTTTCCTCTGGGATTTCACAGTAGAGAAAGCATCATAATATACTAGAAGGCAATGAGAGTTTTTGTTAAAACTGTTAGGAGCTAAAGGTGTAAGGATGTGGTTCCAGAATAGAAATTGCCTGCCAGTTCAGAACTTATTTTAAAGGTATTCCGTGAACATGAAACATCTGTACCTTTGTTCACGAAGGCAAATGCTACTGGAAGCCTTTCCTCTCTCTTCTGTCTGGCAAATGCTTATCCATCTTTCAGCACCTCACCAAACTTTCTCTTCCCTGGGAAGCCTACTCTTTTTGCCAAAAACACCAATCTCTTCCTCTTATATGTTCATGTGGTCCTTTACGTGCATCTTTGCTACAACACATTGATTATTAGTTATTTGTTATATCTACTAGATTGTGACTTTTTTTTTTCCCCCGAGGAAGATTTGCCCTGAGCTAGTATCTGCTGCCAATCTTCCCTTTTTTATATGTGAGCCACCACCACAGCATGGTCACTGACAGACTAGTGGTCTAGGTCCACACCCGGGAACTGAATCTGGGCCGCTGAAGCGGAGTGTGCTGAACTTAACCACTAGGCCACTGGGGCTGGCCCTAGATTGTGATCTTCTAAAGAGCAATCCATTTTACTCATTCTTCTAAAAAGCATTTCTTTTATTCATTCCTCATGCCTGGCACATAGCATTCAAAAAATGCTTACTGAACAGTGATTTTTCAGGTTTCCTTTCTTCTCTATTTCAGTTTGCCCAACATACTGCTGATTATTTTCTCTCGTCTTGAAATACAATTTTGATTTTGTTAGTCAATCAAAACCATCAATTGATTTATACTATCAAGGGAATAAGGGTCTTTAGCTTGATATTCAAGGGTCCAAGACAGTCTGCATTTCCAAGCATGAAATAAGTGGTATCTACAATAACATATCTTCTCCACTACTCCTCTTCCTAAACTTGTGCACAGGACAATTGAAGACCTCTTACTTCACAGGCCCAGTAGTCCAATCCTACTTATTTGGTAAGATCCAGGGAAGTATCTTCACCTTCACAGAGCCTTTCCTGATTCTCCAGCTAAATGTAATTGCTCTATTTGTATCCTTGCTATAGCACTTATCACCCTCTATATTTTATTATAGTCGTTTATGTAAGTATCTAACAGACTCTATTAAACTATAAGCTCATTTTGGGGTAGGATTTGAGTCTAAGTAATCTACATCCCTCATGCAACCTAGCACAGTCATTAGCCAAATTTGCTAAACAAGTGAGCAAACGGGATCCCTGTGTCTCATTCCATATTAGGCAAAGGAACTAACAACAGTGGTGGAGCATTTACTTTGCACCAGCCTCTGTCCTAGGCCCTTTACATATGTCGGTTCACTCACTTCTTACAACACACCTGTGAGACAGGTATTATTAGCCCTCTTTCACAGAAGAGACAACTGTGATCCTGAGACATTAAATTAAGTAACTTACCCAAGACCCCACAGGTTCTTAAGTGGTGAAACCAGGAGTGGAATCAAGTACTGTCCTCTTCCAAAGTTTGTGCTCTTCCACATATCTTATGGTCTTGCCTTGTCTTTATATAATGTTTATGCATGTTACTAAACAGCACTGATTGCCTGATTGAAAAACAGTGGACTCAAAGATCAGATTATGACAATTAAAACATTGTGTGTGAGGAAATAGTGTCACACATTTTCCTTTACTTTTTTCAATTTCCCTCTGGATTTTTATTTATTTTTTTGAGGAAGACTGGCCCTGAGCTAACATCCGTGCTCATCTTCCTCTGCTTTATATGTAGGATGCCTGCCACAGCATGGCTTGAGAAGCAGTGCGTAGGTCCATGCATGGCATCTGAACCGGTGAACCCTGGGAAGCCAAAGCAGAGCATGTGCACTTAACTGCTGCACCACCGGCGGCCCCTTCTCTCTGGATTTTTGATACATCAGTCTAAGTATGATCTGGGAAAAGTATAAAGAAGGTGACTAAATGCACTGCAAGGTAAGGTGCTTTTACATTGCTGTGTCCTCACTATAGGGGTAAGGAAGTATATCAATGATTCTTCTGCAATTCTCCAGCAGTGAAACGACTGCCGAACAGTTTGAGGCGATTTAGTTTTGGAAGGACAGAGTGATAAGCAACGTAGTTCCTGTAGCACTTAATGCAGTCAGTGTTTATAGAAACGTTTTTGAATTAAATAGCTAACCAGTAAAATAGCATTTTATCAAATATTCGCCATAAATAAAATGCATTTTGACTTTAAGATGACATGTGCTCTTATAGGGCGTTTCTTCTGCATGCTAAGGACTGTATAACAAATTAAAGAACACACATTTATGTAGATAAAAGGCAAATAAACTTCCCCAAGCAGTAATGTGGGAATCATCACTGACGGTTCGACATATCAATATTTCAGGAAGAATAAATGACTTTCATATCCATGGTTTTTAATCATATACTTATTCATTTTTACATTACTAGAATACTTTGGAAAGAATCTGTACTTTATCACCTGAAACTGCTTAAAGTATTTCAAAATATTTTAATAAAGCTTTTTGAATTATCAAATAATGTAACTTTTAAACAAATTTTACTATTATTATAAATATTTGCTCTTCATCCCTTGCCCAAAGGAAAACTATAAATCTTGTCTCAACTGAATGAACACCATTTATCATATTCATTTTGTTGTCAATACAATTATGAAAAGCCTTTGGCCTTTTCCCAAGGAAGCTGATTTGTTACTGAAACTCAATTATTATAAGCAAAGCCAGTACCAAGCCACCCTGTTTGGCAATCTAACACAGCTTCCTGCACAACTAACGCTTGCCCTCCGCCCCTAACCCTAATAACATCAACATCTATGGTCAAATGGAAGAGACAATGGTTTCTAGTTCAAAACAAAACATTAAGTCCCAGGGTTTTCCGTTTGCTATTTTCTGCCATCTGCTGGACAGAAGCTTCACCTCAGACAGGTGCCAAAAAGGAGAGTTCAGCGAGGAAAGGGAAAACAGACTTAATTACAAACTTAAATTGCAACATATTCTATAAATTTTAGGCAGTATCAATTATGACAGATATTTCTATTCTTTGACACTGAGGGGAAAAGTTCTAACCTTGACTCTTGGTTACGATTGTTGAAGAGGAAAACAAGAAACATTACTTGCTGGACATCCTAAAATTGTAGCTTGGTTTCAAGATAATCATTGATTTTAAAGTGCCCAAATGAGGCTTTTATGATTTTTCAAATAAATGAAAGTTTTTACGTTGTGATCTATTTATATTTTGAGAAATAAAAGGTCATAAGTAATTCCAGTTGATTCTTTATAGTTAAAAGAATTATATGACTTTTTATAGGACTTTCCATGTTAAAATCTACAATCTCTGTACATGTACTTCATATGCTGATATAGAGACATACATGATTCCTCAGTGACATGGAAAATTCTTGTGTGTAATGCTTCTATAGGCACATAAATCTGATAAAGCAGGTTTAATATTAACTAATAATGTAAGTCACTATTCAAATTAATGTTGAAAAATTTTTTTAAAGTGTAAAGTTCTCCCTAAAACACCTCCTTTTAGTTACGGCTTTGGCCATAATTGTGGCATCAGTAGCTGAAGATTGCTTTTAAGAAGTTTCTGTTGCAATTTAATTTATGAGGGAAGTTTGGATAAGAAGGGTTTGAAAAGAGCCACTGAGAAATAGTGTAACTTAAAAAATAAAATAGCTTTAAGGCATCCAATTTTTCTTACATGCTCTGATAGTTTCATGTATAAAGGCATGAAAACATTATATTACATTAATATGACTTGCATAAATAGTCACTTCCTGTTAGGATCAAAGGGGATTCAATCAATACTATTAAAACAATATTAATAGTGACCCTTTATGACTATCAAATATGTCCTAGACATTATTCAAAGCACATTACTTACTTTAATGGTCACAATAAGCCATGATACTGGATGTCTCCTTTTTTGTGTGTGTGTGTGCTTTATCTCCCCTAATCCCCCCGGTACATAGTTGTCTATCTTAGTTGCAGGTCCTTCTAGTTGTGGCATGTGGGACGCCGCCTCCACGTGGCCTGACGAGCAGTGCCATGTTGGCGCCCAAGATCCGAACCGGCAAAACCCTGGCCTGCCGCAGCGGAGCGCGCGAACTTAACCACTCGGCCACCAGGCCGGCGCCGGATGGCTCCTTTTTCAGACGAGGAAACCAAGACTCAGAGAGGTACAATGCTTTGCCAAGGTTTACTCAGCAAATGGAGAGCTGGGATTTCAAGCCTGGTCTGTCTGATACCAAAGTCCATGTTCTTTTTACTCTTATACGATGAGGCATTTCTGTCAGAGATGTTTTTTCTTTGTTTATTTATTTTGCTGTCTGTACTAAGCCTTGGCAAAGGTAAATTCAAATTTTATACCAAACAAAAAATCCTGACCATTTATTTCCCCCTTTTCATGTCCATTAATATTTCCACGGTGATGAAAAACTGCAGCATGATAAAGCAAGCCTCAAAGAGACAAAGTGAACTTTTCAGCCCTGCTAGTTGAAATGGAGTAGAAATTCAAATTTCCTTGAAAATGCCAAACAGTAGGTAGGATTCATTGATCCTGAGTTAAATATGTTAGCCCAGTTACCCCTGCAACCCCAACCTAAACAATCATTTGTGGATGTGATTTTTAAGTTGTCAATATTTAATGGCACCAAAAAAGTGACCTCTCTGAGCTGGATCTCCAAATGCTGTGCTCAGTTATCTGCACTGCTGCCACTGTGCTGTAATTTTTAGCTGATTACACATTAGTTCATTTAGCTTTGTTTCCTCTTCCCTACTGTGCCATACTATTAAACGAAAGCGAGGGGCCTGGCATCCCTCTGTGCACAGAGCTGGTATTGTCACAGTGTAATAAGGATACATCCAGTCAAACAGCATGGTGTAGCTGGTCTTTGTGTTCAGTGCAAAGGCAATCCCTCGAAGATCTCTTGCCAGCCCGATCAACATACGCTGTCAGTGGGAAAGAGACACAGTAATTGATTTTCACGTTAGCACAGAGCAGATGGAGTAATAATCAGGCAATAATGACCACATATCTGATTTTGATTCATTAGCTAAAATGTCTCGCTCAGATCCCTTTCTATTGAAAACTATAGACTCTTTAAACAGACCATCGAATCTGCCGACCAACTCTATTTTGCTTGTTATAAATTGAGCTAAGTCATAATTCCAGTAGTTTAGGAACATTTAGATTCTTAATAGAAGAATTTTGTTTCTGAATAATGCCAATTAGAAAAAAAAGAGATGAGGATTAATAATTCCACAAAACATAAATGCACAGGGTCTAGACATTATTTAATAACAGCAAATCGTAACCACATCAAATTGCGTGAAACCAGTCCCACTGTGCAATTTGGAGTCTATCCTGGGAGCACAATGGCATTCAAAGATACCTAAGGAATATCATTAGTAACTTAGGACAAAATAAAACTGGCCAGGTGACTTATCGGTACCATGACACACCCAGAATAACAGATTTCCACAGCAAGGAAAAGCTGTAAGGAAAACAGTTATATATCCCATGTCGGAAGACATGAACTTGAATCCCAGCTTTACTTCTTAACTGTTAGACTTAAGGCAAGGCAATTTATCAGTCTTAGTTTTCTCATCTATAAAAGGGGCTAATAATGTCTCTTTCACAGAGGCATTGTGAGGAATAAATTTACGTAAAAATGCCTAGCAAGAGCCTGCTACATAGTAAGTGTTCCCTAAATATTTAGTTTTGGAGAAAGAAAAAAAACTTGACTCAAATAAGAGATCTGACTTGTACTCTGGACTCCTAATTAAGCTGTCCTTAGGATGATGATTGGGAAGAGAAAAAGAAAACTCATGAACAGATGCTAGAATGTCAGAACAAAGAGCACAAATAAACATAACTGTAAAACAAGGGGTGGGATAATTGAGATGTGCAACTGTGATTTCTGAGGATACTGTTTCAGTGGAAATATTCTGCCAGAAAATGCTCTCTGAACTTTCCTTTTTACCAGATTTTCTTTTTCCTCACACTTTGGTAATAAATTAAAACCTTTTTAGGAAGGCATTTAAATGATCATTAAGGACTTTGAGGTGAATCCTGACCCTCATCCTAATGGTTAAATAACATTTCAAGGTAGCAAATAATAGTTACCAGTCAGAAGTATTTGCAATTTCTGATCCTCTTTCCCCCAAAAGCCCCCCTCCACCTAAAAGGTGGCTCAATGTAATGGGAAGTTGTTCATAAGAATATGCAGTTTCTATACTGCCTAACAGTTTATAGAATGATGGTAACCTGAATTTCTGAATCTGCAAACCCTGAATTCTGTTTCTGCTTCTTTAAATGACTTATTCCTTTTCCCCTCATAATCTCACCAGTCCTTATTTTTCTATAATCTTCTAGTCTCCTTGTAGTTCTCTCGTGTCACTTGCTATTTTTTTTTTTAAAAACATTTTGCCTTTTATGCAACCTATTTTCACCACCTGGAACTTGTTCCCCCCTTTCTCAGCTTTCCACATTTCTTGCAGCCTCCAAAACAAAATAAATCTTCTGAGAAGCCTTCTTTGAACAATTACATTCTGACTATTTAACTTGACAGTCTTTGTATTCAAGTGGCCTTTGTGGTCTATTTTTGTTATGTACACTTAGAGGTTACAGGCTACTTTTTAAATAATCTTAAGTTTTCACATATGCATAATGGTACCCACCGTTCAACTCTAAATTAGTCAATAGGAACCATGAGTTTTACATTGTGCCTAGTGCAAAGGGCTCTTAAAATATTTTTGAATACCCTTATCATACAAAAGGTTAATATTTATTTTATCACAAATTTTTCTTCCTTTAAAGATGCCAAGTTAATAGAAGTGCTCTAATTGACTAGAATCTATGAAATTATATCAACGCTTAATTTTAGAAAATGTTACCACAGAGCAGAGGACGCATATAACAATATAATAACTAAATGTTTTCAACAGATTCGACTGAGCAGGAAAATGCAGTGTCAATGTGAGTAAGACACAGATTTCTTATGCTCAAACAATATCTTTTATTTCAAAGCAGCAAGAGTACTGCAATATTCTATACACATACTCAAACACCACTAAGGGAATACTTTCTTGATAGCCAAAACATACCCAGTTCTGACATGAGACAGGAAAACTGTTAACTAGGAGCTCAACCAGGCTACTAAACAATCTCAGAGGTGAGAGGTAACCTGACTGAAATTTAGGGGGGAGGAGCCACAATTTACCATCTCATTTAAAATAGTATGAAGAGATTTATTTCAAAAGTGGCCTTTCTCCTCCAGTTGGCCAACACTTGATTGATCTGAAAAGTGAGAGGCTCCTATATTTTTAGTGAGGGTGTTTTTGGGAGTGGGGTAGGTCTGGGGTATCTAATCCTAAGGATTCCTTTTTGGATAGTTCAAGGAGAAATTGCTCAGTGCTTGAGTCTGCTGCATGGTGAACAGTTGTCTGGGTGCCAAGTGTGAGACGGATGGGCTGGGAAACAGCTGAAATGCGGCTCCTTCCACCTTGACCCCCAAAACAGGGTTTCTAATGGAAAGTCTGACAGACCCTTTACTGTAGTGGCACTACTGGGGGCAGCTATAATATTATCCTCATAATTCTACTATATAATAACAACAAAGAAAAAGAAGGTGAAGGGTCATTGTGCTTTGTCTTTAGAATTAAGATGGCTGTCTTCATCCTTACAGCATACTCTTAATTCTGGAGACACATCTTAATAACCTCTAAATAGTTCCAACAAAAGAGCCGTGTCAGAGGAATGAGCAGGCCCCAAGGTGTTTCAACTGGAGTGTTTTCATCTGCCTTTATTGCTCTATCCCTCTCCAGAATTAAGGCAATAACCTGTGATAAATTATTCAGGAACTGCTACAGGGATCAAAGCAAAATCATTCTGTTAAAGTGCTGTTTGCAACATTTGGCACTTAGTGCGAAAACTTTTAATGTGCGCATGCTGAAAATCAAGGATTTTAAATAATTTAACATTGTGGAGTTTTTACGAAAGGACTAAAGATAGTAAGGTTCCTATTTAACTGCTCCTCTTCCTCCAAGAAGTTTTCATTCATTTTCTTTAAAACTGATGACATCATGGCCAAATCAAAAATGATGCATGAGTCACAGGAGTATTGGACTATATTTTACTATGGATACAATTCTAAGGGGAAAAAAACATAGATTTTGAACTAACACTTTAGAGCCAGGATTTGTCACAGCATTTTCTTTCTTTTCTCCTTTACTTTGAAGAGAAAAACCCAAGACAAGAATTCAATGTTCTCTTCAATTTTATTAAGACTAAGTAAGGAAACAAAGCTATAAATTTAAGAGTTTTGCAGCATTTCTTCCCCTCACAGCCATATTTCAATTTGCCAACATAGGTCCTTAATGCTTATGTTCATCCTGAAATCTGCATTGGAAAAATATCTATAAATAGGAGTTAGAAAATCCTGGTAAGGGTTGCAAATTAAATGAATTTGGCAGTCCTGCGGCATTTTCATAGAGATATTTTAACAGCATCACCTCCCGTGGATTGGAATACTAAATACTTTATTGAAGAACAAAACAGAACTGTTTTTATCTCTAGTACTTGCAAAATGAAGTACCTGAAAGCACTTTTGCATATATTATTTATTCATCATGATAGAAAAACAGCCTTAACCTAATAAATTACATTTAAAAGCATTTAGTGCAAAAGTTTTGTTTATGATAAAGCAACAGATTTAGTTCTTTATCGGTAGCTTAAAGCACCCAGTTTTCTTTATACAAATTAGACAGATGGTGCTTACAGTAGAATTTACTAAAGGTCTGTCACAACAAATGCAGCCAAGCTGCATATTTAATCACTGCAGAATCTTGTCTACCTGCAGCTGCCAACTGCTAATCCAATTTCCCTGATAAATGTGGCAAGAGACACGATCAGCAATAAAGAGCATCTAACTCCATTTTCCTGCAGGGCGTCTTTTGATGAACATTTAGGACGGAAGCACGGAGTGCACTGTGTGGCCTTGGTTCGTGGCAGCTGCATGCATTCTGAGGCACAGTTCTCAGGTTACTCACTTAATTCTGCCACTATCATTACGTTGCTATTGATCTCAGTAGCTGTTGCCTACACAGCATTACTCTAGATGAAGCTGAATCAGGCAGTTATCATGCATCAAACTTGCTCAAAAGCCTGGAGATTTCCCCTTAATTACTTGTGATTTTATTTGCAAATACCGTTAAAGTGTAATCAAGCAGTCACTTTCCAGGGTCGTTAAGAACTTGCTGGTTTAGGGATATATCACTGGAACTCCATTAAAAATGACTCTAGGAAAATGGTTTCTATCAAACTAGATGGGATTACATCAAAACAGGCTTGGAGTATAATGAAATCTTCAAATGAGACAAATGTAATTTTTACAAAGATGGTGTTTTTCAACCTCACTGCTTCTTTTTGATATTAAGGGCAGCAATAGCCACCTTAAAGCTACAAAGATTTTGCTGGTCATTAAAAATACTTGGAAGACATCTAAAAAATATAGTTAACCTGAGTAGAAACTGTGGTGAAGAATTTCAGCAAGACTATAAACACAAAGAAAATCCCTAAGATCTTTTTTGGTTTTAAAATTTTATGACTATTGCATGTTGATAAACAATTATTTCAAAAACTATTTCCAATTAAAAGGAATAGTATTTAGCTAATTATTTTTTGGTAAATGAATTACACTAAAATAATCTTCAAAGGCCATAGTTTTTCTATTTGGCTTCTTACTGCTAATTGTTTTTGGTGGAGAGAAGAGGAGCCATGCAAAATGATGGTTAATATTTTCAACATATTTAAAATAACAATAAAATATGACTCAACCATCACCAACAAAGGTGCCTATAGTCTCCGGAGTACATTTATTAGTCTTTTAAAAATAATAATCAGTGTCAATCTATTTAATATAGCCCTGATGCATTATAATTTCAGAAGATGCTGTTCCTATTTAGCAGATCTTGCTTCCCATCCCCCACATTAAAATATGGGGCTGTTTTGTCACAAACAGCTTGCTACACTTAAAGATTTTACTAATAAAACATAATGTTGTCTTAGATATTATGGCTGTTGCCACAGCTGAACTGACTTGTCAAATCAATCCTAATATGGCTCCCACAGGCACATAAAAACCTTATTTAGCTATCAGTTATCCTAATCACTTTGTTCAGTTTAAGAATGCAATACTTCAAGACCAGCTCCTATTTATACATATATGCCTAGCCATTTAATAAAGTCTTGATTTATATAAATTCTTGTTTAAAAAAATATTTAGAGATGTAATGTTTTAGCATGTGTATGTTTGTGCATTCCTCCATATAAATACGTTGAAACATACAGCGCAGGGCAGATGAGGGAATAGGGATATTTAAAGTAGTGTACCCACAAGAAACGTTTTTTTAAAGATACTGCCACAAGAGACGAGTCTGTGTCATCTAATCATAAACTGACTGTCCAAAATCATTTGCTGACCTCAAAGTCCATTTGTATAAGAAACTAGAAAAGTACTTACATGACAAGTACAACTCAAAGCACATGCAATTGCGAAAGCAAGGCTGATAACACACAGAGCACACACAAATATGCAGAACCTTTTCCTGGATCTAGACAACCTAGAATGAACAAAATCGTCTTTCCTCATGTTTGGAAACAAACCCACCTTTACGTCTTCTTGTTTAAAGCTGTTGTTGAATATTTGTAATACTGTTTCAAAAGAGACTGTAAGAGGCAGCATGAAATTCTCAAATTCGTCCTCATCTTCGCCTATCAGAAAAACAAAAGGGTCACCATGGTTTAAAATGCATGCTATTGTACATTAGCCTCGGCAGTGAGCACTGCAATCAGGCTTAGAAATGTCCCTGAGAAGGGGTCAGGCTGCATTCACATCCATGACACATTTTGTGATCTGGTTCATTGAATATTCTGGTGTTTTGCCTTCTCTTTTGCACCAAATGAAATAGCAAAATTACTTACCAGCCATTTTTTTTTCTGGCTCTTTATTGGATCAAACAGACTCATGCCCCAGGCTTCTCAGCCCTTCAGCTCTTAGGACCCCCAGAGCTTCCCTAATGCCTCAAGGAAAGCCACTTTCAAAGCCTCAGAGACAAGGATGTTTTTTTCCTCTTCTCTTTAGGTGCCAAGGCCCTAAAGGGCTCAGACTCAGGTGCCCAGATAGCTCTAAGTTATTATTCTCTTTTATTTATGTTCTTTTTTATTAATTTGTTAAATAGATAGCAGGGAAACTTTTATCTGCCAAATAGGATGGGGTCCCTCATGGGTCATTTGGATTTTAAGTACCTTCACCATGGGTACACTTCCCCTTGCACTAAGCTTTCTGTTCTTTATAGAAAAGAGAGAAGAGACATTTTCTATGTTTGTTTTTTTTCACTTTAAAGGTAGACTGTAGTTTCCTCAAGGAATCTACCAAAACAGAATGCTCACTTCACACACCGATATGCACAAGTGACAATTTATATAGTGTTCTTTTCAAAAGGAGCTTCTTTTTAAATGAGAAGTTGATTCTCTCATTCATCCTATACCACAGGGAGTTATGAGCCCAATTTTACTGATGAAGAAACAGGTAGAGAAAGGTTAAATGACTTGCTCAAGGTAGCATACTTAGTTGGAGGTAGAACTACATGGTCCAGACCTCCTGATTTCTATGCTATCAGTTTTTAAACAGCATTAGAGAGGAAACGAGATCTCAGAGAAGAGACTGGTGGTTTTGAAAGTTTGGTCCTTGACCTAGTAGCATCAGCACCACCTGGGAACTTGTTAGATGTAAATTCCTAGGTTCCATCCCAGATCAACTGAATTAGAAACTCTGGAAATAGGGTCTAGTAACTTTTTTTTCCCCTTCCCGAAGCCCCAGTGCATGGTTGTATATCCTAGTTGTGAGTTCTTCTAGTTCTATGTGAGCCACTGCCACAGCATGGCAACTGACAGATGAGTGGTGTGGTTCTGTGACTGGGAAACGAACCCAGGCTGCTGAAGTGGTGAGAATGCCAAACTTTAGCCACTAGGCCATCAGGGCTGGCTCAAGCAATTTTTGTTTTAAGAAGCCCTCCAGGTGATTCCAATGTATGCAAATATTTGAGAAATACTGGCCTATACATTATTCTACGACTAAGTAAAATGAGGTCCAAGCCGATACACACAGAAAGAAGATCAATGGCAGAATCAGGATCTTTTGACCCTTAAAGAGTGGCTGATCTGGCTGACCCTGATCTCTTTTGACTTCTCTTTTCCTTTTAACCTTACATATACTTTGTTTCTAGAGTCCAAGAGAATCAGGGACTTCACTTTGTTCGTAAAGAGATGTTAAAAGGCCAATGAGTCTTTCCTGCTATGCTGTTCTAGACAAGGGTCAGGGTCCCAGGTGAAGGGTAAAGCAAACCAAATTATAATCCCTGCTCTGTTAACCGGCTACGTGACCAAGTTATTCCTCTTAAAGACACCCTCTGTCAAATGGTGATAACATTAAGAGACCTTTACAGAAGTCATTCTTATTTTTCAAAGCTTAGGTCAAATGACAGCTTTCCCAGTGTCTGAGCTAGGCTCCCCTGCAAGTACGCTCTAAGGCCCCATTGCAAGTTTTCCCCCTTCTCCCACTGGGTTTCCATAGCATTTTGTCTGACTCTCTACTATAGATAGCATTTATCAGTCTCCCTTGAATTGCAGATATTTAGGCATCTAGCTAATAATAACACTAATAATACCACCTACATCATTCCACCACTACTACCACTTGATGAGGGTTACCATGGGGATTAACTGAGATACAATTTATAACGTGCATGTAAATTATTAGATCTATCGGCCTACACTGATAGTATCTCTGGCTTTGCTCCTGGAGAGCTGAGACGGTGCATCTTCACATTTCTCAGTGAAGGACAATGATGTAGGTAAGGCTCTGAAATAAACAGGCCCAGTGTCTGGCTCCACCACATACTGTTTAACTTTGGATACTTACTAATCACTTTGAGCTTCCGTTTTCTCATCTACAAAATAAGGATATAAATACCTATCTTTGTAGGTTATTGTGAAGATTAAATGTTAACACATGAAAAATAGAAGATGCTCAATATTAAATAGTAGTAGTACTACTACTAACTATTATAGTATTAGCACCTAGAACAGTACCTGGCATGTATTAGGAAAATACTGTATTTGAATGAAAAGCAGTTATTCAATAAAGGTGAATTTTAAAAAGCCCTTATTTCTTAACACCTGACATAGAGTAATACAATAACTAGGGGCTGGCCGGGTGGCGCAGTGGTTAAGTGTGTACATTCCGCTTCGGCGGCCCAGGGTTTGCCGGTTCAGATCTCCAGTGTGGACATGGCACCACTTGGCAAGCCACACTGTGGCAGGTGTCCCACATACAAAGTGGAGGAAGATGGGCATGGATGTTAGCTCAGGGCCAGTCTTCCTCAGCAAAAAGAGGAGGATTGGCAACAGACGTTAGCTCAGGGCTAATCTTCCTCAAAAAATAAATAAATACAATAACCAACTGAAGTAAACATTATCAAATCCTTAAATATATAATATATATATGCACATTATATTTAAACTATGTAATCTTACTCTTCTAAGATAAAGTATTTTATAAACGTGGAATCATTGAGAACTGATAACGATCACTGCACACAGACAGAGGGTCCTGGAAAGAGTAGATGTTTTGAAATTCTAAGCTTGACTCCTGGCTCTGCTATTGTTAGCTATCTGGCTTTGGATAGTCTCTTCACTCATCTAAGCCTTAGTGTCTTCACCTGTAATGAAGAGACATAATATTTACTTGATGAAGTTAGCTATGAGGATTAAATGACAAACATCTGTAAGCCCCCTTGCTCAGTGTTTGGTACTTCATAAATGACAACTGTTAGTATTTTTGTTGTTTTGAGTTTAACATGGACTTAGAGAGGTGATCAAATAAAGTATAACCACAAAGTTGCCTGCCCAATACCCTTCCTTTGGGAACAAAGCTTTCCCAAGGTAAGAATGTTTACTTAGAACAAAGACAGACTCAGGACATTAACATTTCAACCCTCCACTTAATATACTGAGCTACAGATGAAAAAACTTCCTGACCCCATCTCTTTCCTCAATCAAATTTTGAGGCAAATAGGGATATCAGAAGCGTAAGAGATGAGCCACTTAAATGCGCAGGGAGAGATCAAGGGGCAAATACTAAAGACAGCAACATAAGCAGCAATTCCACTTAAATGTCACTTCCTCAGGGGGGCCTTCCCTGACCACGCTACCTAAAATAATACTGCACTGTGTGCCCCGACCCTCACTCACTTTCAAACCTCATAAACTACTTTACTCATGAGACTTATTATGACTGGCTACTAATTTACATATGTATTCACTATCTTCCCTACTAGAATGTAAGCTTTGGGGGGAAGGAACCTGGTCTATTTTGATCATGGCTGTATCCCCAGTGCCTAGAACAATGTTTGGCACTCAAGAAATATTTGTGCAGTGACTGAATAACAGTAGTTATTTCCTGAGTGCTTATTATGTGCAGGCAATGAATTTGGCACTTAATTTACTTAACACCTATGTAGCTCTTACCGTGTTCAATCACTGTTGCAAGTCATTAATGGTCTCAATTCTATGAAGTTGTATGATAACTTCCCCCACTCCACATGTGAACAGAGAGGCTCAAAGGAGTTAAGTAGTCTGCTCAAAATCCTCTGGCTAGTAAATGTGAGTGAATGAGGATCCCCAATTAGGTCTGCTTTACTCCCAAGCCCATGTTCTTCTCCCTATGTCTCTGATGAGGTGGAAGGTATCAGAGGTAGAGACTGAAGTCAGGGACGTAGTTTGGAGCTATGTGAAGTTAGAAGGGGTAAAGAACAATCAGGTTGGTTCTGGTGAGGAGAAAGGAATTTCTCAGCAATCATTTGAGTTTAAGGTAGGGAACTGTGAGATACTGGTGCTTTATTCCTGTAGAAATGTTGATATTTCAGTTAGCACTGTTCCTCTTTTACAGCCACATGATATGTAGTATCATCTAAGCTGCAAAACTGTTCATTTTCGTTTATATCAAACAACTTTATACATCTACTAAAGATTTTTTCCTCATTTGTATTACCCATAGAGGTATCATTTACTGTTTCTGATACGAAAGAAGAAAACATAAGCTCACGCTCTTATAATTTCATATTCAAGTATGCAGTCATATAATTTAGTATGTCAAATGTATATGTGACCATTTTAAGAATAATAATTGAAGCTGCTAGTTTTTTTTTCTAAAAAGACAAGGGCCCAGAAACCAGTATGATTTGAAGGTGAAGTGCCAATTTATAGACTAATATTTTCACTGGCATCAGAAAAAGTAAATATTAACATGCTACTCTAAGTTTTCAGTCATGCGTAGATAAAAACAATAACTTCTTCAGCTTTTAGGTAAAACTGAAAGCTGATCCCCTCTACGAGACTTCTGAGGCTCTGATTCAAAAGAAAGTTATTAATTTTATGAGTTTCAGAGCAGTCGCATTAAAGCACAAACAGCAGTGCTTCTAGTAGGCTGGCTCTCAGATATTTTGTTTGTAGGACACTTTGCTATTTCATACAATTTAAAATCTTCAGTAGTGGGAATGTAACATGGACAGCCAATATAATATGATGCAAGCACTGTGGAAAACAGTTTGGCAGTTACTCAAAAAGTTAAACACAGAGTTGCCATCTGACCCAGCAATTTTACTTCTGGGTATAAACCCAAGAAGGTTGAAAACATATGTCCACACAAAAAC